ACATTATCTAGAATCAATTTGCATATTGATTTTGTATACATGTGTTTTGTGATTTTTATGCGTACATGGAATTATTGTCGTATTTAATTTAGTTTTGGGATCTTTCCAATTATATAACTCTCCATAAGAAAATGATGTTTTATTTTATATATTTAAATTTATTATTAGCAACACATTTAATTATCTATTTCTCGGCGAATTTTAATTGAAAGAACAAAAAATTTTGTGTAGGAAAGATAGAGGGTAACTCTTCCAGATTAATGTTAAAGACTTGCACTTTGGAATTTACAATTCGTTTGCAATGACATCGCAATGGAGTTGAGTTACATGATTGAATTTGTAATAAATCCAAAGTTAATATGTAATTTGTCATATCATTACATATAAAATTAGAAGAGATTTTTTTTTATTGGTGTGAATTCTTTTTCCAATTATTATTATTATTATTAATTTTTTTTTTTAGACGTATACAATTGACCACTTCCCATCATTTCTCCCCTTTATTTTATTAAGGGTAGCTCTAATTTAATGGATAAATAAAAAATATTAGAAATAGCATATTAGTTGTTTTTTAAGAACAATAATTACGAAATTGAGGTGATTCACCCAAAAAGTGGCTTTATCAAGTAATGTCAGCTACTTCATACATAAAAAAATACTTAGAAAAATAATATATAGATCAAGAATTCAAACACAAAATAAATGTTAATAAAAGTAATGTATGTTTTAAATTCACTTCACATGTGAATTCGACTGTATCAGAGTTAAACCACACACTACTTGATTTTGGTTTTTTTTTTTTTTTTTTGATATACTATTTAGGGCTATATTTGTTTGGGTATACTACATAATTTCTCTTAAGTAGTTTTACGAAAAATCATCTAGCATTTGTAGGTCGATTGATTGATCCTAAACATTTTTGGTTGTTTGATCACAATTTTAAGACACTTTTCATAAAACATTTTTATGGTCGTTAACATTTTTGCAACACATAGATTGTAATATAAGAATTTTATTAGATAGTGCCTTCAGACACGGGCGATCTCTAATGAATAAATAAGTAAATAAAATAAAATAAAAATTCACTCACTTTGGTGTTTAATTTTAATTTATTTTTTTTTTGCAAAACTAAATTGTGTCACAGTTCAGTCTAAGTTCAAACTCAAAATAATCTCAAAACTAACTAGCTTCTTTGGTTGTGGTTTTCAAAAAAAATAATTTTCAGAAAATTTTATTTTTTTATTTTCGTATTTAAATATTTTTAATGAATTTTTTTAATAATTTAAGTAGTTTTTTAAAAAAATTTAGACACACCTACCATAAATAATACATGGGCAAATTACATATACCTCCCTCGAGGTTTAGCTAAATTATAGATATCCCCTGAGGTTTCGAAAATTACAGATACCCCCCTGAGGTTTATATTTTTATAACAAATTAACCCCTGAAGTTTATATTTTCATAACAATTTATCCCCTAATTTGTTATGCAAATAGTACCTTCAGAGAGTATCTGTAATTTCTCAAACCTCAGGGGGTATCTGTAATTTTGCTAAACCTCGAGGGAGGTATATGTAATTTTCCCTAAATAGATTTAAAAAATATAATATTTCTGAAAAAAATCTATAAAAAAATACATTAAATACCAAAAAATACAACCAAAAAAAATATGAAAATTCGGCACTTTTTTTATATATTGTTTATTTATTAATTTTTTAAAATATTTTTTTACAAATATTTTACTATTTAGATGCATCTAAGTAAGGTGCGTCTAAAAAAGTAAAAAAAAAAAAGTTTAAAATTTTTAAAATATTCACTAAAAAAAAGTACAACATAATTGATGTTATTTGGTTATTAATTTTTTCAGTACATTTTTTGAGTACATTTTGCTGAAAAAATTAATATTTTGCTGAAAAAATATTAAAAATGCAAAAATATTTTTTTAGTACATTTTTTATATTTTTATGTATTTATTAATTTTTAAAAATATTTTTTCACAAATTTTTTACTTTAAAGTAAAAAAAAATGTTTAAAATTTTAAAAATATTCACTAAAAAAAAGTACAACATAATTGATGTTATTTGGTTATTAATTTTTTCAGTACATTTTTTGAGTACATTTTGCTGAAAAAATTAATATTTTGCTGAAAAAATATTAAAAATGCAAAAATATTTTTTTAGTACATTTTTTATATTTTTATGTATTTATTAATTTTTAAAAATATTTTTTCACAAATTTTTTACTTTAAAGTAAAAAAAAATGTTTAAAATTTTAAAAATATTCACTAAAAAAAAGTACAACATAATTGATGTTATTTGGTTATTAATTTTTTCAGTACATTTTTTGAGTACATTTTGCTGAAAAAATTAATATTTTGCTGAAAAAATACTAAAAATACAAAAATATTTTTTCAGTACATTTTTTGTATTTTTATGTATTTATTAATTTTAAGTTCAAGCTCAACATATAATCTCAAAACTAACTAGCTTCTTTGGTTGTGGTTTTCAAAAAAAATAATTTTCAGAAAATTTTATTTTTTTATTTTCATATTCTAATATTTTTAATGAATTTTTTTAATAATTTAAGTAGTTTTTTAAAAAAATTTAGACACACCTAACATAAAAAATACATGGGCAAATTACATATACCTCCCTCGAGGTTTAGCTAAATTATAGATATCCCCTGAGGTTTCGAAAATTACAGATACCCCCCTGAGGTTTATATTTTTATAACAAATTAACCCCTGAAGTTTATATTTTCATAACAATTTATCCCCTAATTTGTTATGCAAATAGTACCTTCAGAGAGTATCTGTAATTTCTCAAACCTCAGGGGGTATCTGTAATTTTGCTAAACCTCGAGGGAGGTATATGTAATTTTCCCTAAATAGATTTAAAAAATATAATATTTCTGAAAAAAATCTATAAAAAAATACATTAAATACCAAAAAATACAACCAAAAAAAAAATGAAAATTCGGTACTTTTTTTATATATTGTTTATTTATTAATTTTTTAAAATATTTTTTTACAAATATTTTACTATTTAGATACATCTAAGTAAGGTGCGTCTAAAAAAGTAAAAAAGAAAATTACTTAAAATTTTAAAAATATTCACTAAAAATAAAAAAAAATACGAAAAATAAAAAACTCAATTTTTTAAAAATTGAAATCAAACATACTGAACATTACTTTTAAATTCATTCTCGAATCATCCAATTACATAAATAAATTTTGTATCAAGCAAAAATAAAAAATACAAGTAAACGGTGTTGGAGGATGAAATGAGAGTTAGAAGGAGATGAGGTAAAACATAAGATAGGGATGTAAATCTGACCTGATTCTGCTCACCTGGGCCTCGCGGGCTCTCGTCAAAATTCAGACCGGGTTGGGCCGGCCCACGAGCCAAAAAACTAAGCCTCAGCTAGGGCCCAAGCCCAGGAGTATTCAGGCCTTAGGTGGGCTGGTGGGCGGGGACAATGGACTTGGGCCTGGCCTCGGGATTAGGTCATGCTTGGATAGGCCGGACTATTTTTTTTTTTGTTTTTTTAAATTTTTTCTATCAAAATTTTATTATTTTTCATTAAAAAATATACTGGGTCTCGGACAAGTTGGACTTCGGGCCAAGCCCTAAGTGGGCCTTAAGCGGGCCGATAGGCTAGGCCATGGGCAAGGCTTCAAAACAATGGTCCAGGCCCTGCCCTAGGGGCTTGAGCTAGGCTCGAATTTGGGCCCAAACAAATCTAAACAGACCAAATCCATCCTCGAATCGCGGATAAATTTTAGACCGCCACAGGCCATTTTTAACACTCCTAATAAAAGGTAGCGGTGGTTTAGAAAAGAGGACATAAGAGAACATAAAAGATAGAGAGAAATAGACAAATCGTGAAAGGTGACAAATGGAAGTGATATACATAATGGGATGTGTTGAGAAAATTGTTAAAAGTTATTTTTTAACTTTTTTATAAGAGAATGAAGTGAATTAAAAATTAAAAATGACTTTTAACTCACTTCTTAAAATAGTCCAATGAAGAATTTGCATGTTGACAAATTATGTTTTAGGAAAATGTGAAAAAGAGAAAACACATTTTTATGAAAGTACATGGAGGAAGAGAGAAATGAGGGGAGTGGAAGTGTTGTAAGATCATATTTTCATAAATGATGTGACAGGGTGTGATTGATAGAAATTATGTTTTTTTAGTCAAACAACAAAATGAGGAAGGGAGTGAAAAATTAAGGACAAATTACATATACTCTCTTAAAATTTAGTTAAATTATAAATATTTCCTGAGGTTTGAGAAATTATAAATTTCCTTCTGAATGTTATATTTATATAACAAATTAGGGGGTAATTTGTTATGAAATATAAACCTCAGGGGATAAATTGTTATGAAAATACAAATCTCAGGGGGCAGGATGTAATTTCTGAAACTTCAAGAGATATCTGTAATTTAGTCAAACCTCGAGAGAGGTATATGTAATTTGCCCAAAAATTAACTATGAAACTATCAAAACACCAATATTTTAGAAGATAAAAATGTAATTGACTTTATTTTCATGAATTATTCCCAAATATGAATTGCGTCCAAATTAACCCAACCCACCTAACATTTTTTTGTCTCAAAAGTACGTCCTTAGAATTTAGATCAAAATTGGAAGAATCTAATAGGTTATAGACTAAAGTGATAGAATATTTTCTGCAAGGACCAAACTGATAAAATAGTCATGCATTAGGAGTGACAGTTTAATTTACCACCTTAATTTAATTTTAAAAAAAGTTTTAAGAGTTGGTGGGTATTAAAAATATTTAAAATAATTAATACTTCATTTATATAATTTTAGATATACATAAACTATACAACTCATTCTAATATTTGAATATTTTAAGATTTAGATTGTTATATTGTTACAATTGATAATAGTTTATAATGTTAATAATTTATAAGCATTTATTTCGTTAGCAGCCGTTTAGTCCAAGTATCACATTGAATAGAGAGGGTGGGTGGAAAAGGGACAATCACAGTAGATAACAAGCCAAGTTTGCTGCTAACCAAGACTGCATAAATTATAACACTACAGTTCAGTTCAGTGAAAATCATGAAGGTACACAACAATACACCAAAAAAGGAAAAAGATGATTCGAATCTACTATATTTTTTTCTGGCTCACGATTGAGCATTCTTTAATATGGGAACTACTAGGAACCTTTTGTGGATTCATCTGCTGGTATGTCATCTTCATCGTGGTAGATGTTCTCTGCCATCTGCCAGATCTGAAGTATGTTATCTTCGGCTACGCTAGCAACAACCCAATCTTCGCAGGGGTTCCATGAGAAATCTGAAATTTTACTCGTATGACCACCGTGAATGAAGAGTAATTCAGATGGGCCATCTTCAGCATCCTCTGGTGTCTGTTCTTCGTCAATCCTAGATAATAATAAAAAAATAAAGATCAACAATCTAGGCAAAATATACTTTTTACTTGGAATAACCATTAGGTAGCACCACTTCATTTGGGGAACCCAATGACAGTCGGACTAATTCATGTCCTAAAGATGCTCTGATAAATCAGGACATTTCTGCTACAAACAAAATGATAAAAGAACAAGAATTATAAGTATTATTTAGCTTTAGCAGATCGGAATTACTGCATCCACATGTAAATTTTTATCTTGTTAATATAAATCATTAAGGTTGCATTTAGTTCATGAATTTAGAAAAAGATTTAGAAGGGGAACGAGGAACGATTGGTGAAACGTAAATAAAATATACCTACATTTCACCTAATTTTACACACTATTTCTTTTTCCCTTTTCAAATCCCTCCCCAAATTCATAAACCAAACAACACCTAAGTATATCAACAGATGGCTGGATAATATTTTTTATTTAATTAATAATGTTACTGTTTCCCGCTCAAAAACTGACAAATATTTATTTCTGCTACTTAGGTTTATAGCCATGACTTCACACAAACTAAAAATTTCAATCCAAATTCTATAATGTAAAAGACACCAATCCATGCAATATTCAAACAGGCCATGAATAAAAGTTTCAAACTACAATGACAAATCCACCAGTGTATCAGTAACACCATTTAATCATTTTAGTGCTCTAGAACTTTTTGACTTAAGTAAGCCAACTTATGATGCTATTCCCAACCATATAACAAAACCTAACTTTGTTGTCCTTGGCATTGAGTACTAGGTTAGTCTCAAAATTATACTTACATGGTTTGAAGTTATGATCAAGAAAACTATGAAAAAAGTTCCCATTCATCCAAAGTAGCAATATCACTAGGCTATGTATTCAGAGTTTCTAACAGACTATTTCCTTTCTTGGGCCAAAAAAATTTCCAAAACCTTGAAATTATTTGGTCCAAAGACCCAAGTTCTCGACCTTATGGGTACCATTTCAGTCAGCACAACAATATGCTTGGCACTACCATCTTTAGGGATCTTTTTGAAGAAGGAATCTTCCGTTAAGTCGTGTTACAGACCAATAAAATCAGGAAGGCCAAAACTAAAGTGTTTATATCGTTATTGTTTAACATATCTTCTGTTCTGAACCACGACTGGCCATTTGCTACCCATGCAACAAGCATTTCATTGATATCAAAGTAAAGATCAAAACTTCGGGCAACAAAGCAAAAGATAGATTAAAAACACTTTCAAATAAATAAAAAAAACCATTCATTAACCCCAACAAACCATCAACTGTTAGCTTAAGTGGTATCTCCTACCACTAGCAAAGAGGGACATCTAGATTTCAGTCCTGGATGGGATGCATTGGTGTTATTTAGAACACACACGAACACGAGGAAGAAGAAGAAAGGAAACAATAAATAACAGCAACAAATAACTAGTAGTTCTTTGAGGACAAACCTGCTAAGATCCCACACCATAAGCCTCCTCCCAAGACAACAAGAAGCTAGGATGGTCTCATTCTTCGGATTCCACCCAACTTGGAAAACTTCCTCCCTATTGTACATCACAGCAAAAATTGAGGTCCAGTAGTCAATATTAACACGTGCATGCTTGCATATGCGCACATGCTTAAGAAAATCTAATATACTCTTCGAGGCAAAGACAAAAGAAATCATTAAGCTCTACAATTCCAAAAATGTCCAATAAAATAAAATGCCAAGGAAAGAACACTCTTACTTGTGACAATCAAAGGTATGGAGAGCTGTGGAGATTTTGCGAAGATCAAATAACTTCACAGTTTTATCTGTAGAGCCCGTCGCCACAACCCATTCATTAAAGGGATTAAAAGCTAAGCAGTTAACCTACCAAAAAATGAAGGGGGGAAAAAGTAATGTATCCCATTCAACAGTATAACCTCATATTTCCAGTACATTAGCAAAGTAGTTTAATATGAACGTCAGAATCAAAAGCAACAAAAGTTTGCGGTCCGACGCATGAAGAAAATAAATTATCAGAAGAAGTTAATATTAGGGGAAACTGAAATAACACACATCTTTAAATATGCCAATTTATTAAAATTTAAAATATATAAAAAAAAATAATAAAAAAGTGCAACATGAAATTGTCCATGTAAGCTAATGTAAGCAGCATTTTGCATTTCAGAGATACGCTAAACAAGGGTGCACTTAAGGTGTATGAAAGCAATAAAGATCTACAAGTCAATCCAGCCCAAGCAGAAACGACAAACAATGGTGACGTCTAACAAATGCCAGAATTAGCATCTATCTGAGTTATAGAGATAACAATCTCCTCTCAAAACAAGTGTCCCTGCAACTAGGGAGCTTACATAACAAAAAGAAAAAAGTATTGAGTCTACAAATGATAATTGGAAAAGAAAACTAGTACAATGATTGAGTAGGCCACAAACTATTTGTCATTGTTGACGGTCTGACAGATCGTCAAGGGGAGTGGAATAAACATAGAATTTGTTCCTGTGTTTTCTAGTTGGTTATGTCATCAAAAGATTTTTCCAAAACACAACTTCACCACCATGACCCCAAAGAAACATAATCTCACCCACAGCATCCCATCCATTATTATATATATATACTATTGTATAAAGTGAACATGTTATTTTGGTGTATAAGTCTTTTTGAAGCTGTGGCTGTGTAACACTAAAAAACTGAATCTTATCCACAAAACCATGTCTCACCCATAATTCCCAAACAATATCTCGTTAATGTTGCAACATCCTCTAAACTTTCTCAATTATATTTCTTTTTATTTATATGTGTATATATGTAATGGGTATAAGATAGAACTGCACACGTAGCATGTACACTTGTGGCTAGAAGTTGTTCATGAGGGGATATTTGGTGTATAAGTCTTTTTGAAGCTGTGGCTGTGTAACACTAAAAAACTGAATCTTATCCACAAAACCATGTCTCACCCATAATTCCCAAACAATATCTCGTTAATGTTGCAACATCCTCTAAACTTTCTCAATTATATTTCTTTTTATTTACACGTGTATATATGTAATGGGTATAAGATAGAACTGCACACGTAGCATGTACACCTGTGGCTAGAAGTTGTTCATAAGGGGATAGAACTGCACACAAAGCATGTACACCTTTTCCAAACATGAACTAAACATGAACTGCAGTTCTTGTACTTATTCTTCAAAAGAATTTACATAGTTATCTCAAATTTAAACAAAATATTTTCAAGCCAGGTTTAATTTCCAACCAGAAAATTAATTTTCTGTTAAATTGCCTACCCATGCTGCAATATTTAACAGACCTTGCTCCATTTGGTAATGGTAAAAGGGGTGGAAAAATGAAAAGATGACAAGAGGGAGAAAAGGGTATCCCTACTCAAAATTTGACACTATAAAAAATCATCAAGGGGTGAAAGTATTACACCTTTTATACCATGTGTCAGTTCATCCAAACTTATGTACATGTATCATGAATAGAACCATTTCAATGAATGTGTCTGTGCATATCTAAGCATCCAATAGACTTCTGAAACTTTGGACACTGACCTCACTTTGATGAGCAATTACAGATTGAATTGGCTTGGTGACTGATGGAGTCCGGAGATCCCATATATGCAGATACTGATCATCCCCAACTGAACCAAACAAGTATTCGTGCCTCAGATGCCATGCTACATCTTCTACAACACCTTCATGAACCTGTTTCAGCAAATATCAAATTTTATAAATCACCAATCAACAATTTTATTTCTGTACTATGATTACTACGAGATAACAAAATACATTGTTTTTCCTAGCTAGCACATCTTATTCAGTGCATGCATCGATTTACTAGATGTTTCAGTTCTTGTAGCCTTGAAGGAATGCTGTGTAAACTGTGTCACATGTTTGAGGCAAACTAAACATGATGTAGTATAGTATGTCGACCTTGAACAGAGAAAAGTACCTTAAATATTTGCATGGCATCCAGAGCCTTATTCTTAGGAGTCGCATTGATGTCCCACAAACATATTTGGGCATCATCAGAACCACTCAACAAATGACCCTGTTTAAACTTACTCCATGACAAACCATATCCTTCAGTGTTGTGGCCCCTCAACCTCAAATCAGGACTGCATGCACCATCTAGAGGAGGCTTCGATGGGTGTTTGCTATAATCAAAAACATATACTTCAGCACTAATCGTCTTAGTGGCAATAATAAATTGGTTTTGGGGCATATAACGAGCTCGGTTAACTTCTCCATCATGATTGATTTGTTGAATTATTTGAACCTGCAATAAAAATATTTAAAATTAAAATTCAAAAAGCTTCATAGCTTATCAGTACATATAACATAAGTTTACATGCATTCATGTGACAGATGTACAAACAAAAATAGCATATAGAGGTTCTGAATACCAAAGTTCCATAGTCAGAAAAAATTGAACCTAAGATAAAATTATATCACCATTTAGCCATAAAATGAAAAAGGTCTTTAGGTTCTGCTTGGTGGCACAAATTGAATAGTTTCATTTTGAATTAACTAATTAAAATTTGTGTACATAAACCAATTAATTCAAAACCCATGTAGACATTGAACAGAATAGATTTTTGAATCTGCCCAGTCTATATTAGGTAATTCTATGTTTTAAAAGCAATAAAGAAATCTAGATTTCCATAAAGAAAGTCAATTTATAGATTCTAGAGTTTGTTTTATTTTTGGGGAAGGAATTAGGATGGATGAGGAAATTAAGATGGAAGTTGAACGGGAGATTGGGATGGAGGAGGTAAAGGTGGTAATAGAAAAATAACGTAGGGATTAGAAATTTTTTTATTTTTTACATATTGGAAAAAAAATTTTGAACATTAATGTTTAAATTTTTTTATTTGTTTTATTATTTTATATAAAAATAATTTAACAATTCTTACACTAACAACTATCATCAAAACAAACGCAATTTTACTTAATCCCCACCCTATCCGTTCTACCTCTGAAAACAAACAGGCGTCAATCTTATCCCTATCCCAAATAATTAATGTTATTGTTACTAACAGAATTACCCCTTAAAAAAGGTTAGGGTTTGGGTTACATTGCTCACCCATCAGCTCACCCCAGAGAGTGTCAAACACTTAAATCTTTCACCTTTTGAATACAAATATCAAGTTAACTACCCAAGCAACCGTTCTTACTAATTTAATTTGCAAGAAAACCCTAAACCCTAAAACTGCCAAATTCTTCACATGACCAAATAAAGCTTCTCGATTTCTCAATCCAATCACTCCTCACATCAGTTCATAAAGTAAATCATCAATCTAAAACTCAAAAAAACAATTGCTACGCAAACAATTAATTACACACTGTACCTTGCCATTGGCGCAGCCAAATCCACCGAAATCAGACCGATCGTCATCGTAATGTCTGGCATCGTTCTCTGCATCTTCGAGTGGAAGCTGAACCTGAGCGAGCATGAGGTAATTAGGCTCGTTCTCGGATGTGTGAGTCCCCAAAATCATCTTCTGGACCGAGTAGTCCTTCCCCGGCGGCTCTTCCCGATCGGGAAGCCACTCAACAGTGAGAGAAGGCCATTCAAGAGCATGAGTGATGACTAAATCGTACAAGAACGGTGTGTTCTTCTTCCAAATCTTGTACTCTTCGTTTACCAGTCTCTCCTCTATCTCTCCTCTCATCTCATCGTCGTCTTTCCCCATTGCTAGGTTTCAGAATCGATGAAGACGATGATGATGACGGTGCCCTAATCGAAACTCGATTTTCTGTCTCTGTAATTCAATTTTCTAAGTGTTTACTCTTTTTTGTTGTGTGGAAGGGTTTGGAGGGAACGAAATTTTAGAGAGAGCAAGCGCGGGTGGGTTTGCAGACACGAGGGGGGGAAGAGTTATAATGTGGGAGATGGTGAAGTGAGGGAAGGATGGATCTATTGGGTTGACGTGGGCCGGGCTTCGTGTGATTTCGGGCCTGATTGTGGTTCTGATGGGCTGGAACCCATTTAAATTTATTATTAGATGGACATATAGTTCAAAAGATGTCAAATAATATACGATAATTAGGTCTCATTTGAAAAATAATTATTTTAGGATAAATCATAAATACATTTCATAAAAAATTGACCATTTTATTAATAAATTATCAAGTTAATTAACAGTTTTTAATGATGTTATAAATATGTTTCAATTAATAATTTAGATAATTTTATTATTATATAGGTGAACAATTATGAATTTTATTTTTTTAGTTAATTCTATTAAATAAAAAATCATAAAAGTTTTCTTATGCTCCATTTAGTCCCATTTGCACATCAATCTAATGTTTGAAACATTAATCTGATGTTCGAAATCTAATGTTCGAAACATTAATCTGATGTTTGAAACATTGTAATGGGACCTTTCAGTCTATAAAAAATCTTTTAGGACTAAACAGTGTATAAGTTATTAATTTGGGATTTATTGGTGCATCCCCTAGTTCAAAAGATGTCAAATAATATACGATAATTAGGTCTCATTTGAAAAATAATTATTTTAGGATAAATCATAAATATATTTCATAAAAAATTGACCATTTTATTAATAAATTATTAAGTTAATTAACAGTTTTTAACGATGTTATAAATATGTTTCAATTAATAATTTAGATAATTTTATTATTGTATAGGTGAACAATTATGAATTTTATTTTTTTAGTTAATTCTATTAAATAAAAAATCATGACAATGGGGTATTCGTAATTTTTCAAATCACAGGAGATAATCTATATTTTAAAGAAATTTTAGGAGGTATATTTGTCCAATTACCAAACGAGACTTTAGTGTTTGATTCTCGTTTTTAATTTGAGATCAACCTATTAAACTTTTGAATTTGGCCAATTTTAGATTTTAACTCAAATTAATTTTATTTAAATTTGAAAAGAGACAACTTAAGCAACTCAAATTTTAATGTTAATATATTTAGGTAAAGGGATTTAATACATATCATTCCTTGATATTTGGGAAATTACACTAACCCTAGTTATCATAATTATTTAAGCGAAATAAATACATTAAACTCATGTACTCCCTTTTTTGTTGCTCTGCTTTACTTTTTTTTTCTTTTCTTTTGCTTTACCTTTTTTTCAATGTAATTTTCTCTATTTTTCTGCTAGGAGTTGTTGTCTTTTATATAAGTAAGGGACTGTGAAATGAAACTATTAACCACTAAGATGAAAATGTAATTTTTAAAACGTCAAATGAGTAAGATATAATGGGATCAAACTTGTCCTCTTTATATTAGGACACTTTCACCCTTTACCTATTCATGGTTTTTGTCAATTTACTTCTGAAACGTACTTATATTCAAAATAAAAAACGGCATGTTAACTACCATATGATATAAAATATATTATATTGAAATTTAAGTTTGCGTCAAATTTATGAGTTATACAATTATTTTTTTATTTTTTATTTTTTTTTTGGTATGTTGCATGGTTGTTAACATGTCATTTTTGTCTAATTTTGAATACAAATTAGTTTTTAGAGCAAATTAATAAAAACTTAAAATATAAATTATCAAAGTGAGAGAAAAAAATGACTAAACATAAAAGCTCAGTTTGTTTAGGATAAAGGTTTGTTTTGGCAAGTGGGTATAAAATAATTTTATAACTTTTAATCTATTTTTGTTACATCACCTCTTTATTTTTGTACATATTTAAAAAAAAAACTAAAAAAAGTCAAAAATACACTTTTCTTTTACACTTTTTAAAAAAGTATTCGGTATGTTTAGTTTGAATTTTTTGGATTAAGTTTTTTGAAAATTGAGTTTTTTGGTTTTCGTATTTTTTTCTTTTTAGTGAATATTTTAAAAAATTTAAACATTTTTTTTACTTTTTTAGATGCACCTTACTTAGATGTATCTAAAAAGTAAAAAATTTGTTAAAAGATATTTTTAAAAAATTAAAAAAAAATGTACTGAATTATCGTATTTTTTTGGTATTTAGTGAATTTTTAAAAGGTTTTTTTCACAATTTTTTTATCTTTTGGGTATATTTATGTTAGCTATGTCTTAAAAATAAAAAATAAAAACCGCTTAAAATATTAAAAAAATTCAGTAAAAACAAAAAAAAACAAGAAAGTATAATTTTCTGAAAAAAGTGTTTTTTGAAAAACCTAACCAAGCAATTTTTTCATATTTTTTTGTTCTCACTTAATTTTTTTAATATTCAAAACATTTTTGTTTTTAATTTTTAGATATATGTAACATAAAATATACTTAAAAAATATAACATTCGTGAAAAAATATTTAGAAAACTCACTAAATACCAAAAGAAATATAAGAATTTAGTATATTTTTTATTTTTGTATATTTATTGATTTTTTATAAATATTTTATTTTTTAGATACATCTAAAAAAGTAAAAAAATTATTTAAAATTTTAAAACATTTTACTAAAACAAAAAATATAAAAAATAAAAAACTCAACTTACAAATAAATAAATAAATTCAAAAAAGACTAGCCTCCATTTGGGAAGTGGGTTGGTTTTTTGACTTTTTGACTTTTTTGGCTATTTTAGTTTTGGCTAAAAAGCTTGGTTTGTGAAGGACTTTTTAGATTTTTAAAATATTTTTGTGAGAAAATAATGTAATAATTATGAATTTGATGTGATGTTTTGTTTATTATGACTAAAATAATCTATTTTATTTTATTTTTTTGACTAAAATAAGCACAAACCAACTTGCCAAACGGACCCTGAATGGCTTGGGAAATATTTCAAAATTTTGGTGGTTTGGGAAACTATTTTGAAAAGAGCGAGGGTAACCCCAAAAAATCGTCACCAGAAAACAGGCGGGAAATTTTAGTGCAGAGAGAGGACCCCATCACAATCTCCAAAAATGAGGGCTGCCGGAACCGGGCGCCGCCGTCTGAAGGACTCCTTCGCACCGGACCGGAAACCACCACCACCACCCACCCCCACCGCCGCCGATCCATGGCAGTTCCACGGCGGCGCTACCACCACCAGTCGCGACTCCGACGCCAGCTTTTGCAGCAGCATCAATCGCTCCGCCTCCGTCCCAATCACCGACCGCAGCTACCAACTCTCCGCCCTCCGAACCATCAACTCCTACCTTTCCTCTCACTCCTCCCAAATCTCCCTCAAACCCCCTCTCCCATCCGCCAAAGACATCACCGAAACACTCTATACAAAATAAGCCCTTGGCTTGATATACATGTAAATACATCAAAATAAACAAAAAGAGTCTTCAACTCTCATCATCATCCAAGCTATGTCCTTGGAGGTGGCATACTACCTGTACCTAAAAATAGTGTCCCATAAAGGGTGAGCCAACGCCCAGTAGAGATATGCTAAACACAGTATGAGCAATGACTAAGACATTAGCAATTGATAAATGTTCAGTTCCCATAAACCAATTCATAACCCCTTTTCATTTCACTTCAGTTTCACAATTTACATCAACGGCTCAGAACCTGGCCAACCACTTATATGAGACAAAGACTCATATTAAACATTTCCCATTTTATAATAGATAAACATATAAGTTGTATCAACATCTCAACAGATACGCATACATGCTGTATCCACACTTCAACAGATATGCATATTAGCTATATCAACACTTTCAATAATAAGCATATGAGCTGTATCAACACATTATCTGACAAGCATATGAGCTGTATCAGTGGAGTCCATCCACTATCTCTTCCCAAATGACATCCGGTTTAGAGGTTCATCCCCTATCTTCCCCTAAACCGTGGAGTACATCTCTTATCTCATCCCACACACACAATGTATATACATAAAGGTCATATACACAATCAATCAATACATAACGTTAATGTATTTTATCAACCGTCATACTCTATGACATATCCAATTGATTAGTTTTAGTTTGCCTAATCATCATGCATTGTCTACAACAATCAAAACTACCCTCCACCGGTAGCCCAAGCAATTATTTCTAAACAGATAATAAAAGCTCCAACAGATAAAATATCAATGGTTTCAAAAGTGAGCGATTAATAAATCCAACTTCACTAGTCAACCATATAATGAGTCAATTTCACTATTCCCAACTCAATTTCATATAACCATCATTTTCTCAAATTAATAATACAAATTAATTCATACAACCAACTAGGGTTTTCTAACCCATTTTCTAATATTGACCCAATGGCCTATATATCAACAACCAACAACAACATCATTATTTTGAAACCCAAAATACATATTTTTGAATCAAAATAACAAAACCCTTTTTCCACATTTTCAAATCCTAACTCTCCAAAATCAACCATTTAACAAAATACCCAAATATCTAGGTCAAAACCCATAGTTGTGAGTAGGAATCCCTACCTCAAAATATGACACCCAAAGAAGAAGATGGCAAAAACGAAGTTGCTCCAAACCACGAGTTTCTCGGATCAAAAGATAGCCCTCGACGATCTACAACCTTTTTGTAAAGGCCAAAGGTGAGGAGACAACTCTTACTAGATCAATACCTAGAGAGAAGGCAAGGTTCTAGAGAGAGAAGCTCTCAAATGACTTTTTTGGAAAAGTAAGAGAGAGAAAGAATAATAAAAAGTGATTTAAAACTGCCCTTCTGCCAACTAATATACGACATCCCCGCTCGAGCGGAAAACACAACGCTCGAGCGTCAAGAACAAAAATCTGGACACGCTCAAGCGCCAAGACACAATAATAAAGCGCTTCCGCTCGAGCGCGAAAACCAGTCCGCTCGTGTGTAGATTTCCCCCTCCCAGAACTTATATCCAGAAAGTACTACCCGCTCGAGCGCCAACAAACCCGCTCGAGCGCTACCGCTCGAGCGTAAAAAAACCCGCTCGAGCGTAAAAATCACACCTGCAGAAGTTTTGCAGGAACACGAAAT